TCCACACGTCTCTCATTAAGTCATTCATGATTCAAATGCTAGCATTTATATCGAATTTTTTGCCTTCACACCCTACTCTCTCTGCTATTCCTATTTCCTAGTTATTATCTACAGTTGCTTTTACATTAGTTAGTGTATTAAATCAGTTGTCTGATGACAGATGTTATCATTTGCCAGCACGAAAACCAAACAGTATCGTAAAGAGTTGACTTTATTAAAGCTATGAAAGCCTAGTTAATGTAATGTTTTTTTTAATACTTCCATCATGATGGTCCAGTTGTGATCCCTCCGTATATGTGAGGGTCGTTAGTGATTTATTTCATAAAATAAATAAGTTGTTATGGATTCAAAGAGAAAGTAATACGCTATTTTAAAAAGTTCAACCGCAATGTCATTCTTGGCACCAAACTCTTCCAGAAATATCTAAACTGTCATTTGTATACAACGGCTTCCTAAAACCAATGGCTAAAAATGGCTTCCAGCTAATGAACCCTGTGTGTTTTGGCGAGAACATTTTTTTTTGAAGATTGAAAAGTAGTTACACAGAATCACAAAGAACTGTACCAAATACCAGAAACTATATCCCTCGAAGACTATCAGCAGATGCAAAAAACTAAAATGATTAGCACATGTAACTCGCAGGTAACATAAACAAAATCACGGTATTGTCTTTCTACATTACTTCAAATAAATGTTTAGGGATGAAAGACCCATCTTAGGGGAAAGTAATATAACAGCTACTGGACTTGAGAAAGATATTTTTTCTGAAAAAATTGTTTTAAGAGAAATGTTTTCTAAATTTCAACTGATCATAATATTGGCTGGTCGTTCAATGAATGGCAAATGTTTCCTTGTAGGTAAAAGGCAAATTATTATTAATATCCACGTCTGTTTGTCTTGTCCCTTTTATGTTGGGAACGACGCCATTCACTGCTTCATTTAAGCTGTTTCAATTTGAGTTGCTTTGTAAGCTTTTTATATTTGTACTTAGCTACATTAGCATATGGTTGTTTATAAACTGAGTCCTTTAAGAGAATCTTTTATTGCGTTTGTTTTGGTTCTCGGCAATTTCCTTCTGAGTATGATGATATACTACCCAAGAACTATGATCGGATAGTTTTGGGGCGAGGTTTCTTTTTTAAGGCAATTCACCCCAAGCAAGGCGGTAGTGCCACTAGCACACAAGGGGATACAGAGGACTGAGAACAAGAGAAAAGATTTGGGTTTGAGGAAAGGATACAGAGAAGGACGGGGAACAATTTTAGAGTGTCAGATATCGATTTACATTATATTTTAATATTTGAAGATTATAGTCATCGGGGAAGCAAGTAAGGGTAGGGAGTTCCAGAGACCGGAAATGCGGTAGAAGAAGCTGCTTGAGAAGAGAGGTTATATTTAACTGATTTCACAGTGAAAGGGTGGAAACGAGATGCCAGCCTGGTAGCTCATTTAAATTCATATAGTCCAGAAACCAGTGAAAGTTACGCGTTTGAACAGATGTTGTGAAAATATTTGTAGAAGATACAGAGGAAGGCCATGGCATGTCTGTGGGATAGCGATTGTAGACTATATGCCAGATCAGGGCCAATCATATTGCATATTCGTCTCTGGATTTTGTCAAGGTCCTCGAGACGTACAGCGGGAGCACCGGACCATATATGACAGCAATATAGCATGCAAGGTAGGATGGTTGTTTTATAGATTGGAAGGATGGACTCAGACGAGAAAAACTTTCTGGCACGACACAGAGAGCCAACTTTCTTTTCCTTCCTAGATGAAGCTATTGATCCAATGTATTTATGGGAAGCATTTCTTAACTACCGTTCTTCCCAGGTTCACTCTCACCCTGGGTACTAGTACCTTTTAGTGTCCCAGCTATGGGCAAATATTTAACCGTCAAACTGGGTTCAAAACACTGCAAAAGTAAAAAAAAAAAAAATACATTTTATAGTAAAAATACCAGCAATACATTTATGAAGAAAATATTATTACCAGCAAAATGTTTTGAAAACAATTATTAACAGGCTACACACTTAGAAAAAATATTACTAGCAATACATTTGAATATCGACAAAAAACATCTTTCCAAAAATGCGTCAATGAAATCTGATGTACAAATTGATTTCTTACAAAGAATACATATTCTATTCATACGAACCTATCCTAAAATCATTAAGTTTGATATGCCGATAAACAAAATAAACCTTAACCAAACCTATCCCCATAATTTCCACCAAACATTTCACATGATTGTTGTGAATGCGCCTACTGTTAGCGCTTTGTTATATTTTAATGTAAAATAGATTTACTATGTTTTACTTTCGGGAATGTTTGATCCCCACTTGTATATTCTGCCCCGCGTCCTGCACTCTTCAATATCTGATGAGTTATTCAGATAATGCGTATTGCTTTGTAAATCTATGTGCAAAAATGAACCACTTTTCTCCGCGTTCTTTGGGCGATCAATATCCATATTTGCAATTTAAAAATGTTATCCCTTTCCTGCTTTCGTATTTAGGTCCTCCATGATGATAAAATATTTGGGATTTGCACTGAAGTTCGACTTCATCTTGGGTGTGGCAAAAATGATCTATTTCTTCTCTCATGCTCTGTGACATTTCTGCCGATACTAGTCTGATATTTAATGGCTTCCCTTTCCATTTTAGAAGATCTCCGTCCAATATTTGGCAATATCCAAGAATACATTTCTCTTTTGTTGTTATATAATATTAATTTTCTGCCATTTTCGTTTCTCTCTCCGCCTGCACATCTATGGTTTCGCGTTTTAACTGAATCCACAATACAATTTCCTACTGCTATTACTTACTATTCAATGACTGATCGAAATGTGTCCGTTCTATTGCGATGTCAGTGGAGCTAAAGTACGTAGAAATGAAGCCGCTTGTTACAGATTGACCTTACACTCTGTAGCGTATACTCAATACGCTATAACGTGCCGACGCCCTTTTGTTTTTTATAACAGTACTTGGGAAGGAAGATGTATAGAGTGTGGCTAACTCACTACATAAAAAACATTCCAACAGTAACCATGGTTTTGTTCAGTGGCTATTTAGCCAAATACTAATTTGTCCAGGTTTGATAATCTCCATATTTCCCTGATCCCGCTTCTTGCAGCGTTTTTCTCTTCAAAAATCAAATCTGTGTTGAACGCATCAAGATTTCAAAAAGCTATGCTACTGAATGTGACTAGACACCTGCATATCCCAAAATAGGAGTTACAGGAATGCTTTCCTAAATGTAAACGGCGGTGAATAAAGTGTCTTGCTTTCGAATGGAACTACTTCGAAATCATTTAAATGCTTAATTTATATATGCTGCATTTATCTCTTTATAGCATCAGTTCCGATAATTTTTCATCAGTCCTCGTATTTCTGAAGACAAAAGTCTATTAGGTTGTGTTATTATGAATATTTCTTTTTTTGTATATCACATTTATTCTGGTAACATTAAGTAATTCGATTGAATCTTAGCCATTATTTGGGGGGGTTGCCACTTATCAGGCAATGTTTCGATATTTTTTCAGCCATATTCCGTAGATTTTGAAGGGAAAGTTTTTTCGACTAACTTTTCAATTTCTTTTTCACCAGATAAAATGTGTCTCACGAAATGTTTATGCAGTGGTCCCGAAATGTAATATTCATTCAGTGCAAGGTCAGGGTTCGGGTAGATCAGAGCAGCCGAGTTACAAAGTTTCTGTTATTTTTGCAGTATACAGACCCGTGTTGTCTTCGTCGTTCGTCCTCATTTAACGAACACAGGTAATTTTCACCCAAACCTTTATTGGCATATTGCAGCTAGTGGGCAGATAAATGTACACTTAGCGTTTCAATACCCCGAAATGAATGACGCCCCGAAGAGCTCACCACGCATACGTTTCATTTATTATGTGAAACCTAGTTTTTTAAATCGCTTGTGGAAAATTATAATTGTGAATCTACTGTAAATTTTTTGTGAACATTAGCCGCCTGTAGCATTACGTGTTATGATATATCAAATGGACGGGTATTTAACATGATACCTTCCTCATTAAAATTGGTTAGCAAAAAGGGAAATTACTTATGAACCAGGGTAAACGTAGTAATCAAAGTTCTTTTTCGATTCATTGATTAGACAAGAATCGATGCTTTCAATCTGACGTTTCTATAAGAACGCATCTTTTTTTCCAGAAATGGTGACTACATCAGATCTAGCGCAATTTTAGTTACAGAAACCCAGACTATGCAAATAGTTAAAAAAAATGAATGTGTCATGTATTTTTATGTGGTTACTAGTTTGAGAACTGATTAAAATCGGCAATGCTTAACCCAAGGTCATAAGACGAGAAATCTTGCTGCTAGCATCCGTTCTGAACGAAGAATTGCTATTAACTCGATGACATTGTTATATTATGAAGGCGTCCGCATAACGGTTAATGGATGAAGCTATTGGTGGTTATGCTGACTTTAAATTTAGTAATATATCGGTCCATCCCTGGAGCGATATCAGTTTTGAGTTTTCAGATGCAAATTGGAAATAAACTTTACCTGGACTAAAATAAACGGGACTAGGGGTACTTGATGAAACAGCAACACCCAATCAGTGCTTTAATTTTTTTACTCGAACGTAACTGCCATAATCAGAATTCTACAATAATTCGCAATATATCTGCATCCTGTATACGTAGCAATGCACCGACAATATCACAATTCACTAAGTATGCGTAGATAAAATTATTGATGGGTTTGTTCTTTGCGTGTTATCAACCCTCGGAATGTTATTTAAAGCCAGAAAATATTTTAGATAGTAAGAACCTTTTTTGGAGATAATAATCGTTTAGTCTTACTAATTACACCATGTTTGGTTGCAATGGTAGTGCGTGGGGAGAAATGGATTCATACCTTTCCCTTTGGGATTTACGTCTGGGTGAATAAAACAAATCTAAAGCGAACAAGAACTCGGGTTTCCGAATAAAAATTCTGACATCACCCTCACACCCAAGTCTACAGCCCCTGATATTCCCAAGCGGTCACCCACCTAGGTATTTACCAGTCTCAACGAGGTTTAACATCGCTAATCGTGCGAGAACCGGTGTTTCAGCGTTAGGTAAAATTAATATTTTCAGTGTAAACAAATACTAAGCAAAAATCGTATACTCTAAGATTTGTTGTAAGCCTCCCACACACACACTCAACCCGATACACACACACACATATATATATATATCTGTGTGTGTGTGTGTGTGTGTGTGTGTGTGACCAAAAATGTAATAAATTAAGTCTGTTTGAAAATTGGTGGTCCTAAGTTTGAATATTTATGAACATGCATTTAATTTAATTTTACTATTTAATTCCAATGCTTCAATTTTCTTTGTATGAATAAACATTGTACTTCAGTGGAGATAACAACCATTTGTCGCAAGCAGACCAAGATGAATCTGTTGGTAACGACAACATCGCAAATGTCGACTATTTCTACTACACTGGCAAAATAAGATAACATCGTTATGGCGACTTTGATACTAACTGCAGTCAGACTAAATTTAGATTAAAATGGATATCATTGGGATTATGTCTTTTTAAAACAATTTCCTTGCTTTATTAGTGATTTAAACACTTGCGTAGTGATAGGTTGTTTATAAAAGTCAGTATAACTAAACCTAGGGGAGAGTTATCTTCTATTGACGAGACTATACCAAGCAGAGAGAATACCTATCATAACAACCTGTTTACATTGTTATTTGGTCGCGCTTTGTCGTTTGTGTGGTGTGGGGGACATGCATTGTTTAATGACTCTGACAACGATGTCGTCGGTAGTTCTAAACGCCCGGTAAGGAAACCCTTGGCGGCAAGGTCGGAGAAAAGGACCCAGACTAAGCGTGTTATCCCCAAAGACCACAACGGTGGAACAAGCGAAAGATGACTACAACATCTCAAGAGTTTAACCAGCGGATGAAGAAGACTACGCATGGCGGACATGCTATGGAAGGCGTGACTTAAAATTATAACGGAGTCTGCAGCAGTCCGTGGCAGCTTCAAAACTAAAGTCTTCATGTCCCGTTCCATGTGTGCCGCAGAGGAAGGCCATGAAATAAAGTGTGTGGGTCACTTCCTGGAAAGCCGAGGTTCACCATAAACAAAGTCACGCTATTGGTATCTCTTCTACTCTGGTTTTTTCTCACCTCCGACGAACTCTTTCAAAACAAAATGGCGATAGTCAATGGATGGCGGGGGAAAGTTTTGGCGAAAACATGAAGTTTGTAGTCCTGAACATGCATGCTGTCGCGGAATGTAGACATCAACGCCATCACCATAAAGGAAGTAATCAGCAAAGAAGAAATCAAATTCTTGGATAAAGCCAACGACGACGATTTTGAACCACGCACTCGCACACACACACACGCGCACAAACACACACACTCACACACAAACACATACACACAAACGCACACATCTCTCTACCTACCTATAAATATAAATATATGTGTGTGTGTGTTTATCCACGTGTGTGTGTGTATCCACAGACATATGATAGGATTAAAATGAATTTTTACTAATGAAACATATTTTTGAAGCTTTTGTTTCCGTTTTAATTTAAAGCTAATTTATCTATTTTTTTTTTTCGACGTGCACGTATCCGTATTAAATTACTTGTTAAATATAATGCGTCCGCCTTTTTGGATAATTTCGAACGACCAATTTTTCATAAAAAATGAGAAAATTATTCTCCGTAATCTAATGCTTTATTGAATTATGTTTAGTTTGGCTTTGCATTTATTAGTTATCGCTCTGATTTCACTGAAAATCGTGTATGGATGTCCGTATTTACACAAATCGGAAAGTTTATACGCACAAAAAAGAAAATTCATTATTTTTTGAATATTGGAATCGAAAACCTATAGTAATATTTTCCATTTATGTTTAGTAAATATAGTTTTTCCTTAATAATAATATTATTTAACGGGGAGAAATTAATGCAGGAATTTAAAAGTATATAAAATAATTCTAATTAAAATTTTAAAACAAATGAAAACTATTCTCGTAAAAATTAATTATTCATCGATTTTTTTTTTCTCTTAAGACATTATCATATTCATAAAATCAATTAAAATACTTTCTAATCAAATAATATCTTAGTATTAATGCATTTTTATTTTAAGATTCAAAGCACTTTTGTTAACTGGGGTTCTCGTTTTACAAAAATAAATTATTCATTTAAATTCTGCAAGGGCTTATAACTATTAAACGGAACACAATTTAATTCATCGAAATTTACAAAATTAAATAACTTGGTGGTAACAGACGAAAAAAAAAAAGAAGTTTTTTCATAGATTCTCTAAAAAGAAACATTTCTAAAACATGATTTTTAATCAAGGTTTCGAAAGTACTAAAAAAGACAAAAATATTATTTGGTCTTTCCTATTAATAATAACGTAACTTTGTTTACGACAAAACAATGTTTTATTAAGGTTGGGAAATTTTTTCATCATGGCGTGCTAAATATTTAGTTAATCAGTCAGGGGAACACACACACACACACAAACACACACACACACACACACAGACAGACACACACACACACACACATATATATATATATATATATATATATATATATATATAAAAGATATATAGTTTTAAGGAGTACTATATTTATGGTATAAAGTGCTCAGTGGCAGATATAGTGGGTATCTAAATATAAAAGAGAACATTGAAGTCAACACTCTGCGGCTAGAGATTGCTTCATGCGAAACGGTGGCCTGATGATTGCGTTTAGCATGGAACTCTCTGTGGACTACTATGTCTACTTTCATATATATATATATATATATATATATATATATATATATATATATATATATATATATATACAATTCCAAAAATCCTTCTCTTCATATGTTCTGAATTTTTTTCAGTTTCTTATCATTTTTCTCATTTTTCTTATTATTTGTATTTACTATTTTATTTTTCTTATTATTTTCTTATTATTTTTCTCAGTTTCTTATCCAGAGTATGCCTGATCTAGGGAGATGAATGCTATAATCCTGGCGACGAGTGAATATTTAACTTTAATAAGATTCTTAAATGTAATGGCTGGTAGACAAAATTAATGAATATATTCTTTCATAAATTAGAAAAGCGCCAAGTACGTGTAACTACTAAAATATATGATTGAAAGTGATAAAATATATCGGATTAATAAAAAATCCATTACGTCTTGTTTACATTTGTAAGACGTAATGGATTTTTTATTAATCCGATATATTACATTTGTATACGATATATTACATTTGTATACGAAACTGAGGATATATATATATATATATATATATATATATATATATATATATATATATATATATACGAAACTGAGGATATATATATATTTGTATACGAAACTGAGGATATATATATATATCAGTTTCGTATACAAATGCAAAGAGAGAGAGAGAGAAAGAGAGAGAGAGAGAAAGAGAGAGAGACGGAGCGTATAAAAAATAGATTTACAAACATTGGGTGCGCAATCCTCACAAGAAAACTAAGAGAAAAGTCCATATAAACATATGTTCGCAAATCCTTCGTTTTTGAGTTATTAAGTTTAACGAACATTTACGGTAGATGGCACTGTCTGTCATATCGACTAGGTTACATTTGTCAATCGTGTACATTTTTTACATATTCCGTTTTCAACATTCGTATTAGTGATTCAACTGAGAGATGTTCCGTCTAACAATGACAGGATATTCATATCGTGAACAGGCAGATGTAATTTTTACATACGGCCGTACAAATGGTAATGTATGAGGATGCGCTTCCAAATCGTAGATATACAGCTTCTTCTACAGATTATCGTTGCGTTGCTGAGACAGGGTCCGTGGCACCACAAACTATGGATCGAGTAAGACCGAGATCAGTTAGTACACCTTATCACCAAGAGGATATCCTACAGGCTGTTGGAGACGATTTAGGTATCAGCACATGTTAAATGGCCCGAGCATGTCCAGAGAACTTTTGCCAATGTTTTTTGTACAAACTGCCAATCCTTTTTTGTCTCTTCACTTGAGGCAACATTTGCAACAGATCGAATAAAGACTTTTGTGTGCTGATCGGAATCCATATGGTATAATACAAGGTGCACACCAGCATCATTCCCGATTGATGTATGGGCTGGAATCGTAGGTAACTGTCTGGTAGGTCCATATGTTCTCCCAGGACGTCGGAGAATACTTGTCTACAGGGACTTTATTTTGTACAAACTTCCAGACCTGATAAAGGATGTAGCCCTGATGATAAGAAGACGCATATAGTTCATGTATGATGGAATTCCAGCACATTTTAATCGCACTGCCCACGATGCAGTGGCTGAAATCTACCATGCAAGATAGATAGGTAGAGATGAACCGGTTCCAAGTGCTGAACGTCCCCTCAATATCAATCCTTTGGGTTTTTATTTGCGGGGATGCATAATAAAATTGATTTATGCAGCAGACATTAATAATACCGATACGATTCATCAGCTTGTTATGCGTGAATGCGAAAACATTCGACAAGTTGTAGGAGTATTTGAAAGGTTCAGCCAGTCAATGATCCATCGGGTGAATGTGTGCATAGAAGCAATCGGGGGAAATTTGAAGATGGTTTACGAGTTGCTGTGTTAAGATACAACGTCGGCTTTTTGAATATACGTTTATATGGTGATTTTACCTTGTTTTCCTTGTTTGCCGCCCTCAAAGGATATATATATGTTGGGGCGCACCCACCTTCTGACTGATAATGGACTTATCCCTCTACGATATAAGTCAGTGCTAGAGAGAGTAGTGGTGTTGTGTGAAGGATCAGGTTCAGCGACAGCAGTCGAGATCAGGTTACCATTACATACCGTTGGACTGTAGACTTTTGCTATTGTTACTTACTAACCGGCGTTTCTTATTACTAATCACTCTGTTGTTAATTACCTCTTACAAATATACCAGTATTTTTCCCTACAACTGTGTTTGTCTTTATTCGAATACACACACGCGGGAACACTCCTAACATCTCAACAGTGGCGACGAGGCTTCGAACGGGATAAGAAGAACCTACGTTGAAAAATAAATATCGCAAC